CTTGGCTATTTTTGGGGTATCCTACTAAAACTTGGAAAGAGCTTCCTTCTCAAGCTGTGTCTCATTATATGTTCATCTCACCTGATCAAGAAGAACTACTCTGATTCCCAATATAGTCTCAAGCAGACTCCTTTTTAATGTACTTGATCACAGAAAGCCTCAATATGGATAAGGCAGCATACCCATGAGTACAATAACTCTTAGGGCAATTACTACCCCTGATCAATAAGACAGGCATGCAGGAAAACAGTGTCATTTCCTAACTGAGTATTATAGAGAATGTTTTTGGGGGTGCCATGGGTGTTTTCTTCTCTTTTCTTTTTATTTTTCTTTCCTGCAAGTGGGAAAAAAGACCCCTTAAGGAAAACAGACAAACCAGAGAACTCAGGTCCTGATAATGACACTTGATATAATCACATCCCACTTCACTATGCAGATCTCTGGAGACAAACTGCACTCAAGAATCACGAGATATCCCTTCAGGTGAATGGAAGGATATATACAGATGTGAAGTTTTCAAGTATTTTACCCCCTTTGAAAAACCCTAAAGTTTGGGCTTCAAGTTGGCTCAGTTAAGGAAAAGAAATGTGAATACCACCATTCTTGTTTTCAAAGCTCATTCAGTTATACTCTGTCCACTAAGAGCTCCTGACAGGAGAAAGCTCTATTACTGGAATGCCATCATGAGATGCCAGCACGATGCCTGGGTGCCAGAGCTTAACAGAATAGGCCACATGGAATTGGTCCCCATTCACTAAGCAGGATTTTGAAACAAACAGCAATGATTTTTTTCTTTTTTTTTTTTTTTCCCTAAACTAGGCACAGCACACACAAACCTGTCTTCAGCTGCTAACCTTAATATATTACTCATTCTTCCTTTCAAATAACGTCATATTCAAAACCCCAGTGACTGAAGAATATTTACTTGAGGCTGCTACTGCTGGTTTCTCCAGAGCTGTTTATTTTTCCATGCAGGGGCTTATTACATCATTCTGTGGTTTTCTTAAAGGTTGTCACAGTAAGCTGGATACAGGTTGGAAACTCTTGCTAACTAAAACCAAATCACTAAGTAGCACAAATGAATTTGGAAATAACCCAACCCTGGAAGTGAGGAAAATACCTGGATTCCTCAGTGGAGATGGGGTGCTCCTAAACAAGCAGCCATTAGATTTCTTGGAAGTGGAAAACATTATCAAATGCTTCCCTAGATTGAGAACTTAAGGAAAAATAATCACTTTGACTGTTGCAGGCTGAAATATTGGAGTTGAGGGGAGGAGGCTGAAACAGTAAAAGCAGAATGAAATACAGTTGCCAGCCATGCTGATTAGAGAACAGCCATTGCAAGAACCCCACCCGAATCACCTCCTGCTTGGCAGTGTTAAGAACTACACATCACAGGGAGCAGTGCTAGGTAACTGTCTTAGTTAGCTTAAGGTATCTGTGTGCATGCACATGTGGATGTGCATGTTTGGGAAAGGGGAGAACCGGCAAAAATTATTTCTGTCATTTTGCCACAACAATATTGTATTGATCTAGACCTTTTACTTACCCCAAAAAGAAAAAAATTGGGACTTGCAGGATTCAGACAGACAGAAAATGTATTTAAGTGTAGAAAAACAACTTTTCAGCTGTGCAACAGTCCAGATGTTCATATTTTGGTTCCTGCCTCTGGCTGAGAAGGTTTGAACCTGCATCTCACCCTAATGAGTAAAGGGTGCCATTTAATTCTTTAAGGTGGGCTGGGGTAACAGCATTAGCAATCCCTCCTAGCAATGCTCTTTTACTGAGCATAGAAAAACTCACTGGCAAAATGCCTGGAGACATATAGATTCTCAGTCAAGTGCTCTAATCACCAGGCTGGAGTCATTCTGCTTTTCCTGATCCCTAGCTTAATTAGGATTTACACATGCCAAACAAAATGTGAGTGCTCCAAAAAAAAAAGAGATCAGTTTCAGAAGAACCTCTTCTGTTTGTCAACACTAAACAGAAGATGGAATACTCAGATTTCAAATGCAGCTCTTACAGGATACAAGCAGCATATATTACATGGGGTGTCACCATCTCTGCAATGCTCAGCTGCCTGGTGGGTGGCTCACCTAACACTGACCAGAGACAATGACAGCAAATTAAAGAGTCTATTTGACTCCATATAACAATTCTGAAATTCTCCACATGGCTGACATAGTGATGCTGCTTTCCAAGATGTCCAGTGTCAGTGCTGCTTAGAGAACAGCACACATCTTCTGACAGCAGTATCTGGACCACTCTTCTCTGAAAAGGACAGGGCCATATAATCACCACAGGAAGGGGAGAGATCAGAGCTAGGTGCTTCACTATACAAACTCCAAGGAATAGGAAATAAAAGAAGAGCTAGGCTGGATATTAGAAAAAGAAAAAAAAACCTGAGATTGAATTCAGAGAGCAGAGCAGCTTCCTTTGGGAAGAAATAAAATCTTTATTATCTAAGGCATTTATGGTACAGCAGAAAATGCTGCTCTCCTTACAGTATAAACATTAACTAGCCCTAAGGCAGTATATTAGATGACCTACTAGGTCTTTTTTCTTTTCTCACTTCCAATTTCAGTGATCCCATTAAACTGCTGCAAAAGCATACAAAGCTATATCTGCTCCAAGACTGTTAGTGTAAGCTTGGATAGACAATACAGCTGAGGCAACAACAAACTGAAGAATCCAAATCTTGTGCTAGCAAAACTTATCTTAACCCTTTAAAAAGAAATTTTAAAAATGGAAATGTGCTAAGCATTAGCATTTCAAGTTGGGCCAAAGGCAATTAAAAACATCCCCTAGTTCTGCATGCCCATCTCATGACAGCTGTTTCATCATCTACAGCCAAGACAGACTCAAAGACACTTGAAGAAACATGATTCTAAATTATAATTATCCCTCCCAGTTCTCTGCAGTTTGATTCCACCTACTGTACACTGCCTTTACCATATATTACAAGGGATAAAAAGAATGAAAGGTACCAAACAAGGTGACTAGGCTTCACTATATGAAAGGAAAAGGCTGGAGTAGCCCACACTTCATAACACCTAAAACCATAGCTGTAAGCAGCATTTCTTAATAATTTGTGAGAAACTGAAATGGCTGTGCATTTGTATGGCCCAGTGGGGAAATTTGGGGATAAAAGCTGTCAACCCAGTCTTTTAACAGGACCCTATAGCAAGTGAGCATCAGAGTAATCAGTAAGGCTGAGTCAGATGAACCACAAGTCTCCTTTTAGCTTGCTGTATAAACCACCTCTTACACAGCTCTTGAATTTTCCACAAGATCATTTATTTTTCATTTGTAGCATGCACTCACAATAATTTTGTTTGAGTATCAGAACTGACATCAGAAATAATTGAAAAAAGTGAACAAAAGTAAACCCACACAAAGAATGCTTCTGCAGACAAAATTCCAGTTCACATCAGGCAGCTTCCTGACTAAACAATCAAAGTGACTGCCTTTACAACATAAAAGCCAGCCTACTTTGCCTCTGTCAGATCAAGAAAGGGTGGAAGACAGACCCTCCTGCTCCCAAGTCCCTTTGCAACCTCTTAGCACTAACTCTTCTTTCCAATATAGCTATGACATTTGCTGTATTACAAGGAAAGTTGGACTCCAAGATAAGCAGGACCCATTACAAAAGATTTTAATATTACACTGTCACCTTCAATTGTACTGTCAGTTGCTGGTAGTCCCAACAGCTGACAAAAAACAGAAGCTGTATTTGCTCTCCCCTGAAAGACATCCTTAAAGAAGGATGCTGATACTCACACATCATCTGAAGCTTCTGGCTGACTCCCACTGGCAGATCCTACACAGACCACCCTGCTACAAAAACAGCTGGGAGGTGAAGCTCGGGAGACTTGTTAAAACTGTGGTCTAGGCAATGCTGGCTGTCCTCCTGCCAAGAGCTCCTCATTCTGCAGCAAGAGAGTTTCACCCAACCTAGCACTGATTTCACCCTGCAGCTTGGAAGTGGCAGAGGAAGGTTAAAGGAACTGTCATAAATACTCTCTAGCTAATCCAGAAATACCAGATGAAGAGACTTCAAGATACCACTATTTATCTGTTTAGGTGACTGGAACTAGTCCAACAGCCATTCTAAGCATTTATGTTTCATAAAATATATGTAATAGTAGCATCTCCTATTCAAAACTTAAAATAAATCCATGGCTTCTTAAAGCAATTTTTTTCTCTTATATTCCCTTTAATTTCTTCATTTCTCCCACCTCAGTTAAAATATTAGACAGAAACCATTCTTACTAAGAATCCCAAACATTCCTCTTAAGATTCTCTAGTTCCTTCTCATTTCAGTGACTCCACTCCACCATTTCACCTGTGCCTCCAGTCTCAAGTTTTACACAAGTTTTATTTCACTTACATGAAGTTCTGACTTCATGTTTTCCTGTTTTCCCTTTTCCCACTCATGTTCATGATCTCTGCTGTTTTTCAAGTTTGGGTCCTCCCCCATCCACTCCACTACCCACAAAACAATCTCAGCATTTTCTTAGGCCTACACATAATTAAATCACTTTTAGTTGTGAAATAATCAACTCCTTTCTTTATGAAAAAATATCCCCTGCAGAGAAGAATCTTAAATTCACTACAAAAGAAGCCTCTTTTTGTATTTTCTGCAACTGCTTAGACCAAAACCACAGGCCAGATCTTTCAGCCAAATGCATCAGTTCATATACCCGTGCTTAACAGCAAACAGAATAAAGATGACAGATGGCTAAAATGAATTAACAGACTAAGAGAAATTAGGAGATTCCCCAGTTATGGCTTGTGGAAACAAACATCCTTCATCACACATTGATTATGGCCCTTTGAGCACAAAAAACTACCTTATCTGAAATTACTTTATAGCCTGGGCTGCAAGTGCCCCTAGCAGCTTGGTAGCTACAATGAAGAAAGAATCAAACAAGAACAGATGGTGAGGAGCTACAGACTAGTTAAAATAATATTTATTTTTTTTTTAGACAGGAAGTTACCTGAATTCCTTATATTGGAGCTGTTCATTTTGGAGTCTTTGATGACCAAGTGCTTAATCCAAAGGGTGGGTGCTGTGATTTCTGAAAGAATAAAAATAACAGCCTTAAAGAAACTGCAGCAACAGGTAAAAATACTCATGATAGTGACTCAGAATCATAGAATGGTTTGGTTTGGAAAGGACATTAAAGAACATCTTATTCCCACTCCTCTGCCATGGGCAGGGACACCTTCCACTAGATCAGGCTGCTCCAAGCCCCATCCAACCTGGTCTTGAACATTTCCAAAGATGGGGCAGCCACAGCTTCTCTGGGCAACCTGTTCCAGTGCCTCTCCACCCTCACAGCCAAGAATTTTTTCCTCATACCTAATCCAAACCTACTCTCTTTCAGTTTGAAGCTGTTCACCCCTTGTCCTGTCACTGCATGCTCTTGTAAAAAGCCCCTCTCCAGCTCTCTTGTCTTCAGGGACTGGAAGGTGCTAGAAGGTGCCTGCAACAACCTCAACTCTCTCAGTCTCTCTTCAGAAAACAAAATGTTGGCTACTGTCATGCCTTAACTGATCTATCATCTTTGTACAGACAGGTTCATCCCCTGGTGAGGTCTTCCAATTCTTATGAACCACCATTTGTAAATCTTCCACAAGGTTCTCTCATCATCTTCCTGTTCCATAAAGTCTATCTCTTCTGGCAAAACATTTTTTTCCCCCTCCAACCCCCACTTCCTGAATTCTCAAAAAGCCTTTTTCCTCAAGACTCAGAGATCACAAACATTACATTGGGTGCTATAGTATGTGCTGTTTTCCCCAAAGGTACATATGAAACCCAGATTTTAAACAGTCAATCCAGACCTTTAACAGACCAAGAAGGTCTGGCCACAGTCAGTTCCCTAAAACAAGCAACAACAAAATCTGAAATAAATAGGCAGAGACATGAAGATATTCCTGGAAAGACTTAAAAGGAAGTCTGTTAAAGAAATAGGTTCTGGTTGGAAAAGCATGTCTGATGCACTAACCAAGACATCCAAACATAAATTTGTGGGGAAAAAAGTGCTTAGAGCACCTCCTCTGAGGTGTTATAATCAACTTCAAAACATATCTGGACCTGCCTTAAGCCACAGAAATGACATAACCTCAGCATTTGATTAGAACTGAGCAAAGCAGTACTTGCTACCATGGGCTAGAGCACCTCAAGTGACATTTTCAGGACTGATATTTTCTGAAAAAAAATTCAGTTTCCAAAGGAACACAACTTAAATAGTACATCCTGAGGTTTTTCTTAAGTTCCAAGCACTTTTCACATGAGTTTTCCTGTTCCCTTGTTGACATTTACATGGACCTGCTCATCAAAGGGTGAAGCTGGCTGAGTAAAGAGAAACTGATTATAAATTACAAGAACATGAAAAAAAAAAAAAAAGAAAATTAAATTCTCCTTCCTAAATATTGTCAGCTACATTGATTGATGGCCTTATATTCATTGTGTTCAGGGCAATTTTTTTCACAAGGGAGTATAGGTTGAACACTGTTAAACAAACTTTTACTGCTGCTAGAATATAAAAAATTGCCTTATCTGCCAGTTTCACTACACTATTTTATCAATATTCAGCCATCACATGCTTCTATAAATACATACCTACACATTTTGATTTATTTGACTATTTCTACTTTAGTGCTTCTCCCCTTCCTAGCTCTTACCCAATGTTTAATTTGAGGCAGTTCTCCCCAAAAGGGGCTTAAATTCCTAAATCTGGGATGCAATTTAGCTCTGAATCTGCACCATATGGAGCAGATATGTCTACAGCTGAAAAAGGAGGGACAATCAAAGTCAACAGATGCTGAAGAATGGATAAAGGCCTGTAGAAATACAATGGTGTACATCTTTCAGTGATGTTGAAAGGTGCACAGAAAGGAATTCTGGGGGGAAAAAAAAGAGAAAGAACAGGAAATTAATTCCTTGGAATCTACCATAAAAATGTATTTTCAATCCAGGTAACCTGGACATCTTTTTAGATTACAGACACCTCTGAACAACAGATCTGTGGAAAGAGCAGATTCCAAATGAATTACGAGGTGAAGTTTACCAAAAAGAAGAGATGTTTAAAGAAGATATCTTTAGGAAATTATTACACCTTGCACTTGGAAACTAAAGAGATGGTGAAAACCCAGTAACAGAGCCTAGAAGTGCAGGAGGGTATATAACTTTTCAAAACAATACCAAGGATATTAATAAAATACTCTTCAGCAGAGGAGAATCTTGTCCTAAAAAAAGATTCTCTATTAACATCTCTAAGATCTGCATTATAATAATATGAAATAATTTTTAGAGAGATGGCTGTGCTATGATTCAAACCTTGGATGGGAGAGTTTAAGTTATCTGATTTACATTATCTCTGGCACCACTCTGTTATGCCCTCAGGGAAGATGGTAGGGAGTGGGAGGGGAACTTATGCATGAAACGTGAATTTTCATTATCCTCTAATGTAGATGAAAACATGAGAAAGGTGAACCTTCATCTTAGAGATGTTGAAGTTTCAAAGAGGTATCACCCTTTTCAGGGGCAGCTGAGTGCATGTAATGCCCTTTGAAAGAAGTCAGCCCCTTGTGTATGGAAGGTAAGAAACCAAAAGCAAAACATGAAAAAAAAAATCTACATTGGTATTGTCCCTTCGTGTTGATACCAGCTCCACCCTGGCTGCCTGACTTTGAATATACAGGTTTACAGGAACCCATCAGTTTTCAAATGCATTGAAGTGGAATGAGATCTGAACTTTAACACCTTTGAAGATACATGAAGATTTCAGACCCGTCAGGTGAATGGATAACTGTTTTGCACTTTTCTGCCGTTTGTGTCAGACACCAAGTACAAGCTATTCCTCCTGATGACCTACCCCATGACACCAGGAGAGTCTTCTTGTTAAGTATCACAACATGTTTGCTCTGATAGGATAAAGGGATTGTACAGGATGACATCCTGAGGTGTCTAGTCCCACCTTCTGCTCCAGATGGGGTCAGCTTCAAGAATAGACCAGATTGCTCAGGACTTTAGAATCACAGAATATCCTGAGCTGGAAGGGACCCTCAAGAATCACTCAGGTCCAGCTCCTGGTGCTGCACAGGACACCCAAGAATCACACCATTAATTGTTTATTTTACAGCCACCACTGAAATCTACTCAGTCCTGTTCTACTAATAGAGATGACAAAATACAGAGTGACCAGTTTAGAAGAGATTATTAATCAGTGCATAGCCTGGTCAAACTGCCTGTCTGTCTGTCCTCCAGAGTCATAAGGGACACTGCTAGCACAACAGGAGGCCACTGCAATAGTCATGCTCTCTTAGACTTTGAGTTAAGGTCTTGAATAATATATTGCAATGTTTTTGAGAGCCAATCTTCCATCATTCAGCCCAAGCCCATTTATCAGACTAGTGCTCACCTACAAATCAATGGGAAGGTTTTTGATTGAAAATGTTTTTCATTGAAAGTAGAATACCATTGTTTTCAGATTCTGCCCATCACCAGAAGAACCAGAAAAGGTGTGTTCACTACACCACTTCAAGAACTTTGTCCAGCTCTATTTGGACAAAGGAAGGAGCTAGAAGGAGCTAGAAGGAGCTAGAAGGAGCTTCTGAACAGGCTGTATTAACCACATCATCTCACTCCTGCATTCTACTAGCACATTCTTTCCTTTAAACGTCTATGGGTACTGTCTCAGGAAAACTTAAAGGTCAGAAGTTTGTGATTGCCAACAGTAATTTAATACAGCACCAGCTTACTTCCAGGAGGAACCTGCTTTTGATACAAACAACAGAGCCAGCATGGCTTCAGTCACCTTTGTTTGAGTGTTTTTTCTCTGAGAGCTTTACTGTTTCTTAGAGCTCACAAGAAGATTGTCAAAATCTACAATCACTAAATACAAACTGATAGGACTACAGCATCTTACCATTAAATGTGCTTATTTTAGCAACAATAAAACCCTACCACAGCACTCGTTTCTACAAGAAGGCAGGAAATATCAACAGAAAAGTACCTCCTACTCTTGCTCAGCAGTGTCCACTTCTGCCTTTGATCCACTTTAAAAAACAGATGAAGTACAGCAGCCCCCTATGAAAATGCATAGGCTTTCCCTCGCTGCCTTAGGCTCTGCAGTTTCAGGTGGGTCACAGAGTGGTTCACACTTCAGCCCATAGCTTCACTGTAATGGTTGTGGTTTAACCCTGTAGGAAACAGGCACTACTTCCAAGCAACATGCAAGATACAAGCAGCTGCTCTTAGGCCCATTCACTACCAAAGGAACACTACTCCCACTGGTATTTATGTTTGTATGTGGAAAACGCATGAACCCTCTGTGATGACAGCCATTTTATCCTCATTTAAAGGCTTCCAATAGACAAAGGTCCAATATTCCCTCTCCAAAATAATACAATTGCAAGATTGCCTATTTGAGAAGCAAACTGCCTGGGTGGGCCATGAATTAAGTGGGCCCAGGACAATGACTTCATTTACTTAAATAGTATGTGCGTCAATGAAAGCGTTTGCTAAATAAAGAAACCTCCCAGCAATTTTCTTCCAAGTCAACATTCACAAGCTGTGGTTTAACATTACCCTTCCTTTTGCAAAGCTGTAACACACTGCAGAGGTTATGAAATTCCCAGTATTAGTATCGTGAGAGTGGAGATAGGAAGGGGGTAATGACAACCTAAAGGAAGTGGCCACCTCTGATTTGATGCACCTTTTTTTTTACTTGCTGGGACACACTTCTTCCTCCAAGATTATACTAGGAGTATGATCAACTGGTGTTATTACTGGATTCCAGAAAAGTGGGGAGGATGTAAAAAGATTAGGGAAAATGCCTGAGGTCCCAAGGGCACTCTAAAATTTTGATAACTTATGAGATTCACTGGCTTGTCTGCTTTGCAGGATAAAGAAAGCATTTGAACCATAAATACTAGAGAAAAGGGAGAGGGAAATAGCTTTATTTTTGGTTATTTTAAGGGATGTTCTTACCTTCTCCATCGAAAATAGGTTGGGTTTCCATGGTAGGCGTTGGCTTCGAACCATCATCTGAATTGAGGGTTAGAAAGAATCGAAAAGAAACTACCATTATTGAGGTAAATACTATCTACTCTCCAGTACTGTTGAATGATTGGGATTTGTACATGGCCCGGCCAAGTCCAGAAGAGAGAGAAGACAGACAGAACAAAATCATTTTATGCTAAAAGCAGTAACATTTTACATAAAATATGCATCAAGCGCTTTTGGTATACTTAAAAAGCCTCCCCCTCCCTCCACAAACCACTGGTGTTTATCACCTGGTAGTCTCCCCAGAAGGCAATTAGTTGCCTTTTCAATTTCAGGTAAGCTTAGTTTTACACAGGCCATTTCCTGAGACAGCAAATGTTCTGGAGATTGCTGTCCTATTGTGTCTTTCTCCTCATCCCTTTTGTTCAAAAGGAAAGTTCTTCTTCCGAAACTTACCTGTATGGAACTGGTACCAGCATTTACTGCAGAGCTGTTAGAAAGGGATGGTCAATAGCAAATTTTTAATTTTTTTTTTCATAATGACTGCATCAAGGTGTTCTCTAATTGCAATGTGGGGCAACATCTTCCAACAGCAGAATTGTGGAAAAATAATTTCTCGTGTATTAGGCTCAGGTGAGGCTGTTTTGACCATGACAGTATCTGATGAGTCATCTGTCCTGGACCTTATCTCAACTCACAAACCTTTGATACATTTTCTCCCCTATCCAGTTCCAGGGCAGAGTGATAGAGCAGCTTTGGTGGGTGACTAGTTTCTAGCAAGGGTCAGCCTACTACACCTAGGATTGGGCTTTTTTTTTACCTGTTTGAAATATAGAGACTTAAAACCTTCAATTTCTAGTAACTGTTCTTGGCATATGTTATTGGCAAGAAGGACACTAGGCAGCAAAGTGGGCAGAAATCTAAAATGTAAAGTTGCAGAAATCTAAAATGTAAAGTTGCACAGTGAAAATCTGTTGGAGGGAGGAGTACATGCCAGAAAAGCCAGGCTTCCATGACCATCAGATGCACAGGGCAAACACTTTTGGAGCAAATATACATGGGACAGCCCTTCCTAGAGGAAGCAATAACTGCCTTTAGCCACTTACAAAATTAAGAGTCCACTGGAAGGGAAGAGCAGACATGGAAAACAGAAGCCTATAGACTTTTTCCACCCATATCTGTATTTGCAGTTTTTTTAAGTGAGGAAAAGCTTGAACACGTCTTCCACAGTTATTTTATGCATTTCCACCCAAAGTAGTCGAGTTCACAGAAAATAAAAACATGATGATAATTCCATTTCAGCCTCAGAGATCCACTGAATCCACTGACAGAAATGAGAAAGACACCATGTTGTCATTTTCCTCTTCATCATTGTATTTGGTTTTATGCTAAACTGCAAGTGTAACAAAAAATACTTGGAAGAAAAAATACTTAGTATTCCTCCGTCAGCTCTTGTTTTGAGCTTTCCTGTTATTGGGCATTACCAGTAACCTGGATAAGCAGTATTTACTTTTTTTCAAGTTTGAGCAGCTGACTTGGAAATAATTCCTGAATATTGCTTAAATTACAAGGAGGAAAGTTTTGCCCTTTAAAGGCTCTTTGGATAGAAGTAAATAGCTGATCTTCACTTTTTATGTTAGAATAGGTTGTTCTGCTTCTGCAAGAATCCAAGAGCCACAGCTATGGCTTGTTATTTATTTAGGATTTCACTTTCCACTGTAACGAAGCAGTGAACAGAATGTAATTAGCATGACTGGCTTTACAGATTGAGAAACCAACCCAAAACTGCTGAAGACATTCACAGAACAACTAGAAAAGTGAATAATTCTTAAGTTACACAAAATAGGAAGAGACCTGCTGTTAAAAAAAGACCAGTGCAATAGTAAGTTTCTTCTTATTGTTCTCATGAACGCTTCTGCACCAAGTAATTACAGAACTGCTTTTCAGATTTAAAGCAGCAACCTGAAAGCCAACAATGGGGGAAAATTAGAAGTGGATCTGAGCCACGGCACTTGATCCAAATCATTATCTGGAATTTGGCAGAACACAGGACGTTTCAGGTTCAGGGCGATTCTTGCACATTCATGTATGTGCAAGGAACACAGCAGCAATTACAATTTGTCAAATACGTTCTTCTTAAAGAAAGAAAATTTTGTAGCAGCTTTTGTATGAAGCTAGCCATTAAGCTACTGGAGAGTATCAAACAAACCCCTTGGTTCAAAGCTACTGTTGGAGATAATCTCAGTAAAACGGCTCAATGAATTACACAATCATTTCCTTACTGGATTACTAACGCCAAATTGTCACTAAGTCCACATTGTAGCAGCACCCAGCATAGTATTAAGGGGTTTGCAAATAAAGAGAAGTATAATTACTGCCCTGTTGTTCAAGCAAGTACAGTTCTTTCATCACACATACAAGAAAAAATGCAATAGACAAAAGCACTGTAATTACATTAAGCATATTTCAAAAATCAAAAGCCAGGGATTTTCTGATTATTTTTTAAAGGTCACGAAATAGTCACATAACAGACAAAAATTGCACTTCATTAAAAATACCATGCTCACTTCCCAGCTGCCAGCTTCTTACTCTAAACTACCAAATTTTTTTCTTAAACTAGAGAATTCTCAGTAAGTCTCAGTGCTCCAAATTAGCTTATGTCAAGTTTCACTGCTGCTCCCTTTCAGCAGAAAAACCACCCTAGTACTCGCTTGCTCTTATTTGATTTTTCCTCTCTCTCAATACTCCATTTGTCACACTGAACATTTGTTCCACTGGCCTGTTTGTTCCTCACAAACAAGGCATAAGTTCTATTTTACATACCTGAAAGTTTTGAAAAAACATTGTGTATTCCTTAAATAAATATTTCAACACAGAACAAAACCCTGAGCTATTCCAGAGGCCTGAGGTCTCCTGTGATATTACATGAGAAGTACAGAATACTGCTACTTTGGGTACAAAGATCATGAAGTATGTTCACTGGGTACAGTCTCTTCCTCTCTTCAAAGAGCTGTTAAATTCTACACTTTCAAAAGAGGCATGCCACTGCCATAGTTCCTTATACACAGCATGTCACAGAGATTAAAGAGATCAAGTGTTACTTCCTAATCCCTCTAGATAGCAATGCTTCCAGATCAGGAATTCACGTAATTCCACACCCCTTGTTGCAGAATATTTTCAGAGCCTTGAGGAGGAGTTCTCTGACATACTTCTCTTCCAAGTTTTACTACCCAGCATGAATACCCTGCTTTCTTTTTCCAAGACCACTGACTACAGACAGTATCACTCAGGAGAATACCTCCTCATGGGACATTTTAAAGCTATAAAACTCCTTCAGTAAGTGTCCTTTTCCTAGAGTACACTTGCAAAAGTTAAGCAGATTTTTCTGGCTCAATTGCTGTCAACTTTAAAATGGTATTTTTCTCTTGCTACAGGGTAAGAGTGAAACAGGCAGGTCTAAATTAGACTCCCTAAGCCATTTTCATATTAAGATACCTTAGATAAAAACCAGAATTTCACTTGCTCTACTACTGTCAGAAGCTCATAAGCAAGAAGAGTTCTTACTGCATTTGACTGACAATGACTCAAAACAGGGACAATTACTTGCACCTCCTGATCTACTACTAGTGCTGGGCAAGACCTCTTTATGCTCTCATTAGAATACCCCTCCCCATGTCTTATCCTTGCAAAACATCCACATCTGCAATGACTCCAGTTTACACTGGGGTTGAGGGAGAAGGAGACCCAGTTCATGCAAAAGACAACTCTTAAAGTGATCATTTTACTCTGACTGACAAGCACTAAGGCCATGAGCAACTTCAATTACGCCAGGACAAAAGTAAATGCCTTAACATAAAAATACATTAATTACTATGGAAAAATCTGAAGTAACTGCCTGCTGCCATGAATTACCACTCTCGACTCAAGCCACCTAATGGAAGCTGTAAGAAAGGGGAAAAGTTAGGAGATAAAAGTGATGTACTGAAGGTTGATGTTGCTGAGGGAGCACATAGGTCTTGGTCTGCTAATGTGATGATTCAAGTAGTCAGATGACTTGTGCAGTGAGTATATCTTTCTTGGCTAGGGATGTGATGTGGGAGGCTCATGTTGTGTTCTGACTGGAATCCATCAGGCAATCTGTAAACATTTCTTCCATTCTGAAGAGCACAGGTATTTATAGAGTCAATCATCCAGGTTTTATACAAAATCTAGTCTGTTTTCTAAGTAAGCCTATAACTTGAAAATCAGTGGTTCCCAGACTTGAGTCAGACTGACAGAATAAGCAGATGACAATTTTAAGTGCATAGCTCTGGTCTGGGAAGAGGCTGCCTTATTCCAGTGTGAAGTGGTTCCTTCACTTACCATCATCTGGTTTTGGCTGAGTCATTAGAGAGGATAGCTGAAGCTAAATAGGCAACTTAGAGCACAGAGAGCCAGGTCCTGTTCCATGCAAAGCCAAACTTCAGCAAATCTGCCAAGCCAACAGCAAGGGAGAAGAGCTTTCCTAGGCTTCAGAACTCCTGAGAGACTCAAGTCACATCTCATTCCTGTGGCTTTAGTAACTCTGGTCAGACGAACAAAGGTCAATTAGGCTCCTTGTATCCATGCAGTTCCTGAATCTTGAAGGTGCAGTTTTGACTTTAACATTTCTATGCATTACCTCCAGATCCAGGGTATTGTAAGCTTTTTTTAAAAAAAAAACAAAACAAAAAGACAACAAAACTTGTGTTTGTGCTACATGGGGTCTTAGACAAAATTACATGTCCCTTCTAGTATTGCAGGGAAGGAGCAAATTGTTTCCTCAACCACAATCCTCCCCTACATTAAATTAAACTATTTCAGCAAGTCATAATTAATTTAATAGTCTATGCAACTTTTATGTACAGACATATTGCCAATATAAGTGCAGAAAGTTAGCATTCATGCAAAAAAAAAAAAATCTTACAATCTGGCTAATCAAGGTAAGTTTTTGCAGGCAGCTGAAATGGAAATACACCAGTGCAGATAGACTTCCCTGCCAAGTTTTCACACTCCTATCCCACAGAATCATTTAGGTTGAAAAAGACCTCTAAGAT